TTTTGGGTATAACTTTAATCATAGAGGTCAATATAACAATTCAAATGAAGTGGTAAATATTGAAGAAATAAGAATGCAATGTTGATAAACATTACTRAGAACGAATTTGACCTTTGTCACAGAAGAAAAATATGTAACTCGCKCTCACGCCATCGGTATCATATGCAACATTTTTTTTATCCACTGTTTCCATGGCTTGCCTGGACATAATAAAATTAATATCAACAGTCGATACAAGTWATCCGAATTCAACGGCGGTACTAAACTTGAAAGCTAAATCAGGTCGACATAAACAACGAGTTTACGAACATTTGTAAKAAAATTCGGTATGGTTGGCCACGCGCTCGCTCATTCGCATTCTTAATGGCATTAATGTGAACACATTCCACTCAAAGAATACTACTTTCGAGTTTAGAACTTTTTAGTAAAAGTTAATTACTGGATGTGTGATTTATCTTTTAGCTATAGTCGGCTAAAGTAGTTTGATTGAATACTGACCTTCCTAAGCTCACGTGTAAACAGTCCTTACAAAATCGATGTCCACATCTTGTCTGTACGGGTTTTCGCATTGTAAGATTGCAAATACTACAAATGTAGTCTTCAGGTACTTGTACGACAAACTGATAGTCGTATCCAGACTGTAATTCAGTGTTATCGGCCATGGTAGTAACGCTTCTTGCTTTAAGCTCCTATTCACTAGTCGACAATCTATTAATGTGTAACGAGTTGACGCGGGAAAAAGTGGGCACCACAAACAGCCTTAGTGGGGTAGGGTGTGGATACTTATAATTCATAATGCTTTTCCCGATTAAAATCCCATACCAAAGAATTGCTGTCATTTGTACGGAATCTCTGTGCTTTTTAGTCTGGGATACTTTTAGGTCTTTTCGGCTTTTAKCGAATCTATGACAAATATAGAAACAAACAAAATGATGGTCTTTTCGATATACCATATGCACTGATATGCAAGTTTCAGACGATTTAAAGCTAAAAAAATCAAGAAAAACGAATCCACTTGTAAACATCCAAATTAGATAAGAAGATTAGATACTCGAAAAGCAACAGTTCTAAACACTCGCTACGCGCTCGTGTTCCTAAGCTTGCTTCCCTCGTGTTTTTCAACTCCCACCGTGTTTTTATCAGAGGACAGAGATACGTGCGCCGTCATATTTCTTTAATATCCAATGAGTGCTGGTGAATTACATACATGCTTGGACTTTCTCAGTTTCAATACTTAGTCCTAGTCGCCAAGAAGAGTTGGTTGAAACTCCGAATAGACCTGATGAATCTAAACATTATCTTACATGCATTTAGGAAAAAAGAAAGAAAGAAAAAATAAATAAAACATGCAACACATAACAAAATAAAACAAAACGCAAAAACAACAAATTAGACAAAACAAGCTACAATGCCCGGAACGACCAAACGAGCTAGTCAAAATTAAAATATCGAAGCTAACACGAACCAAGCTACTAGAATGAGGCATAAACAGTAACAAAACTGTCCTTAAACAAGTTACCCTTGTCCATACAAAGCTGTAAATTGATTGAAGTCATCAACAATATTCTTTGTTAGTATAATTTACAGTTCTCTATTTATAGTTTATTGGGGCGATTTTCCATTAATCATTCATATTGCGCAAGAATCAGAACGAATACTTACCGGACTAAAAACGGCTCAACAAAAATTGTTGACAACTGTTTGACATAGATTCAAATAACSGTGCAAAAATGCTGATTTTGATAATTATTTCCTTGGTGTTTCAAGTGAAAGGTAAGTTAATCAATGTCAGATCAGATATTCATGAATCTCTGAGAGGTTTTAGGATTAGTTGATCAATGATTATAAGCAATACTAGCACTGCTAAAATAAGATAAGATTTTCCACTTGATTATTTGGTTTGTTTTTCACTTATWTCCATGACAAATTATATATAAATATCTTCTAACTAATTTTTAACATGCATTTTCGCATTATGTCCATCTGAAGAGTTGATTTTAAAGTCAATTTCACTTTTAAAGTCAATTTTACATATTACTTTTATTTGTATTACCAAACAGTTCAACAAAATATTAATATCAGAATGTGTCAAAACATTTTTAAGGAAATTTTTAAAATTACTTTGTAGATTATTATTTTTTACTTTTAACATTTTAAGAGTAAAAGTTTCGAAAACCTTTGCTTGACACTGCTATTATTAATTTTTCTTCTCGACACTTTTTAATTTAATCTTTTTATCATCACTATAGTATTATTTTATAATTTTTTTGCATATATTTTTGATCTTTTAAATATTTTCTTCTTATTATCGTTACAGGTGAAGGTGGCTGTAGAGATCTCAAGTTTCTCAAATGCATCGAGAACAAAACCTTGACTGGTCACGTGATCAGTACGATAAAGATGATAACACCTGCTCTTCAACTGTGTCAGAATAATTGTTTTCGTGAACACAAATGTGTATCGTACAACTTGGGTCCAGTAKTTGGACAGACCAGGTCGTGTGAATTGAATGCCGCTGACCACTCRACTCGACCRAGTTATTTGGTCAACAAAACAGGCTATGAATATTGTCCTATCTTGGTGAGTTATACTCATTAGATATCCAATTTGCTTATATCTTTTATTTGGTACCAAATTCATTACAATTTTCCCCAGAAGGGGAAATGGTTCTAATTAGTTTCCCCAGGAAATTCCCTAATTTAAAAAGCGYTGCCTGTGAGGGGCTAAAGGGTCTAAATGTCGTTGTCTCAGTTAGCAGTTACTAGGAAAGGTCTACATTTGTTTAGCAGAAATTCAATCAGAATCCCATAATTTCCAGGAAATAATCAAATAAGAACAGTTATTTAAAAGAAACAGAAGTTGTGGGATTCTGCCGTGGCATGARCGCTAGTTGATCGATGGTATCTCTAAGTATATAGTGGTGGTAAATGAAGGCTGTTTTAAACCATAATGTATTTTCTTGTATAATGATATGATAAACAGAATGCATGGTCGCATAAAGATTTTATCTCAGTCCTCATATTGAAAATCTCCCAATCGTTTTCGTTCGTAGCTCCTCGCGCCAATGTAATATCCTCCGAGGAGATATATCTTCGAGTGTATATTGGCTTTTTTTTTGTAATGTAATGCTGTAAGATATTAATTTCAACGATCAATCGTGGGGCCTAACCTTGAAAGTTGGTAATATGTCGCTACGCCAACACCGATATMATCACTCGTAAAAGATATGATATCTTTGAACCTTATAGAAATCATTACTACTTCGTCGATATCTATGTTTGATCAAGAACGTAGTTGTCCGTTTTTTGTTGTTTTTGTTATTATTACATGTATAATAGCGGCGATCTGATATCAATCATTGATTATTTTGCTCGGCTGTTTTTCGTGAAGAATATTCTACTTGATCTGCTTTTACAGAATGGGTACGTTACAATTGCTTTCGTTTCTGATTAATACCAGAATCCCTGTTTGTCCAGCCCTTGTCCAGCTGGAAGACTTTGYACTCCTRAYTTTGACTGGAATACATACAGCTGCAACGGTGAGGAAAATTCCTGATGCACATCATTGTTTTCTATTTTTGGGAAGTATACTTGCATATGCATAGATRAACTACACTACTGTCTTAGCAAAGGATTCGAGCTAGCCCACTTCGAAGGCAACTCC